GTGAAGTAGATTAGTTCATTTCAGCCCACCAAACAACACGTAAAACGCACAAATAAATACACTACAAATTTGGGTCGCATTCGGGGGTGACGTTATGCGGGGTCCACGTATATCAATGACTTGATGGGGAATTACAGTGATATGACAAATTCGCCGTGAAAAAAAGATAGGTAGGAAAATTTTGTTTCAAACGTAGATGTTATGGAACTTAGGAGGATTTAAACAAACTCTATTTTTTTGGTCAGAAAAGTGGCAGATGCAGTTCAATTAGATAAATGAAAGTTCTGAAGCTTGGGAGTGCCCAAAACCCAGTATTAAATTTAAATGATTAGAACTTCCATACAGATTGAAAAAAGGATTTGGGGGGTTATGTGACAGCAACCCTTTAAACAAGACAGCAATGCCTAAAACAACATAATAAGGGGAAATAGATTACTGGGGTTTATATCAAGAAGTGTAACAACAGAAGTCCAGGGGGTCATCTCAGCTTTTTAAAATCATTATAAGGCCTCACCTAGTTATGCAGCCAAATTTTGGTCTCCAATTACGAATGGGCATAAAATTCGTTAGAAAACATTCATGTAGGATGACTAAATTAATACTAGCATTAAAATCTTCCTTTTGAAAAAAATTGAAAACTTTAAGTTACATTCACTGTTAGACGAAGATGAGGGAGACCTTATAAGTGTATAAGTGGGAAAATAGGTATTTTAAAGGGGATTTAATAAGGGCTTGAGGATGTCTCTCCCAAAAGAGAACCCACAGTAAAGGATTTAAATTAATATTTAGATTTTGAAAGGACATAGGGGAGTATTGGGTTTGGAAAAAGGGGAGTTTTATGAGGGGACAGTCTACCTAGTTGGGGTTTTTGGGGCTGGGGTTTGGGTAGTTTTAAATCTAGGTTGGGTAAGTACATTGGGGGGGGTTTGGGTTTGAGTGGGCTTTTACACAGAGCTTATTTCTTGGGTGGCATGAAAATTGGGTTGGCAAATTTTTTGTTTTGGGATGAATTGAAAGGACCTCCTAGTAGGGGGAGCAGGCCTCCCCCAGTGTTCCTCCTTTTTTAGTTTTAGTTCCTCTTCCGTCTCTCAACACTAAAAGAATCTCAAAAAAGATAAGGTTTTTCTGTTAAAGTTTCATTCTCATTTCCCATTGTATTTTTTATGTACTACATAACATTCTGTAAAACAAATTTTTTTTTTAATACTTCTGGGTGTCGGGAACGGACAAAATTTGTATTTACTTTATTTCTTATGGGAAAATTGTTTCGAAATCGTAAATTCGTTTATATAAAGGCCCAGAACAATTAAATTTACGAAAAACGGGGGACCACTGTATTTAACACTGAAAAAAAATTTCCTAAAAATCAAATGTTTTGTGTGGGCATGGTCAAGTACATTGTAAAATAACAACACAAAAGTTAACCAAAGAAAAATGTAGGGCACCTAGGAAAGTCAGAAATGGCCGGGTAAAACCCAGTTTTAAAAAAAAGACATAGATTTTTTTTTTAATTGGAATAGTTTTTTATATCTTTTCTTTGAAAAAAATTCTTCTCCGATAGATTTTTTGGTTTTGTTTTAGTTACCCCCTATACAATTCTTGGGGCACCTCATACAGTACTTTTTCTGTACACAGTACTGCAAAACATATAAAATTTTAAATAAAATAAGAGTACAGTAATAAAAAAGAGGTACTTTTTCCTCTGTCCTTGGCGCTAATGTGGTCACGTGTGGGTTTCATCTGATAGTCAGTAAGCTTCAACTGCCGAGAAAGGGTGACAAAGTATTCCCAAGTAAGGTCTCTTTCTTCAAATCTCAACCGGTTGCCGTTTTAAAAATAATTTTTGCCCGAAGGCAAATGAAATTTACCAACGGATTAAAGTCTAAAATTTTATTATTACTATAAAACATTTAAACCCTAAACGGTCCAAGCAGATCTACATTCACTGCGTAGTGCCCAAAAGTACATCTAGTTTTTTTTTACATATTTTCAAATATAACAAAAAAAAAAAGTAGATCAAAGTTTTTTACACGTTTTCAAATGTAAAAAAAAAAAAAATCTACTTTTTTTACATACTATCAAATGTTGAAAAAACGTATATATATGTTAGGACCGTTTACGGGTTAAGAATGATATACACGTACATACATACTACACAAAGCAAACAACATTCACAGGTTTTATATTCATAGATATCCTTGCAAATCTAGAATAAGTGAATATCTTTCTCATTTACATAAACGACTTACCAAATGCATCGCAACTACTCAAACCCACACTATTTGCAGATGACACTACATACGTCTTTTCTCACCCGAGCCCAGTCATACTAGCCAATACTGTAAATACCGAATTACAGAAAATATCTACCTGGATGATGATTAACAAACTTACTCTCAATATTGACAAAACCTACTACATTCAGTTTGGGAACAGAACTACAGAAGTTCCTTTTAACATAATGATAAATGGATCACCTATCAAAAAGCTCACAGAGAGAAAATTCTTAGGGATCCATCTTGATAATAGACTCAAATTTCAAACATATATACAACAAATTTCCAAGAAAATCTCCAAGACCGTAGTCATACTATCAAAGATACGGTACTATGTTCCACAGTCAGCCCTCCCGGCCCTATATCACTCACTCATTTACCCTTATCACATCTATGGAATTTGTGCATGGGGCTCAACAATAATAAATCATCTCAGATCATTAATTACCCAACAAAAGGCTGCAGTCAGAATGATAACAAATTTCCACTCCAGGCAGCATACTCCACCAATATTAAAAACTCTAAACTTACTCACCATACAAAACATCCATACTTATTATTGTGCCTACTACATACATAGAACACTAAACTCGGATATAAACCCTCCCCTTAAACTTCTCCTTACCAACCTCAAAAGAACACATGACCATAACACAAGGCACAGATCACCTTTGATTTCCCTGTGTCCATCTCACTCTATGTAAAAACTCAATTTATATAAAAGGCCCAAAAATCTGGAATTCATTACCTGTGAATATAAAAGAAATACTGTCTGTTTATCAATTCAAGACTCTTCTTAAAAACCACTTACTCAACCACAACTAAATAAATACTGAATAACTGAATCTCATAAATGTATAACCTGTGACCCTATCAAACTATGTTTTTTTTAATTACATTACCTAATAGAATACTCCATTCTCTTGAACGCAAAGTAACTCATCTAATGACCGTATGACCTGCTTCTGATCTACAAATCATTTATTTTACTCAATCTGATTTGATTATATTATACACTGTTATGCTACAAATTTGTACATCTTTTTTTTTTTTTATTATCACACTGGCCGATTCCCACCAAGGCAGGACGGCCCACCAAGGCAGGATGGCCCACCAAGGCAGGATGGCCCACCAAGGCAGGGTGGCCCGAAAAAGAAAAACTTTCACCATCATTCACTCCATCACTGTCTTGCCAGAAGGGTGCTTTACACTACGTTTTTAA